AGTCCTCGACTTACGACCGGTTTAGTCCTCGACTTACGACCGGTTTAGTCCTCGACTTACGACCGGTTTAGTCCTCGACTTACGACCAGTTGGGGTCGCGGCATTAAAAAGGTTGAGAACCACTGCTCTAACAAAAGGCAAAAGTAATGGTGGCATGACAAATGCCTCAGAAGGGACCCACCCTTCTGCAAGGGAGAAATGTACTTTCAGACTTGCAAGATTCTGTTGATATAACATTACAATAAAGTATATTTACTTCATCTGAGCATGTTTCCTTTATGGACTACTTCCCAAGGCTGACACCTCGTCACTTCACAGCTCCATTTCTGCATGCAATTCAAGGTGCTGGTTATGATCTATAAAGCCCAACAATAGTCATTGGAGGAACCATTTACTACCCTGGTATCAGCCCAGCTGGTTCAATCTGACAAATTTAGCATGTTCCATGTTTCTTCAATTTACAACAGTGTCATCAATAGGAATCTGAGATGTGTGTCCTTTTTGTCATGGCATCTGCCCTCTGGAATGAAATTTCACTTGATATCTGTGTGGCTACCAGCTCACTGGCATTCCAAAAAGTCTTAAAGACCTGGCAGTTCTCCAAGACTTTGGGTTATGAGGTTGAAGCCCCTGCTGGATTGGGTGGGATTACCAGTTCTGCCGTCGGTTTTTGTGGTTTGTTGTTTTATTTTCTTATAATTATTGTAATCTGTTTTTATGTGGCTCTTTTATTGTATGGGACCAGGTGGAATCAGGTGGTGTTTCAATTGAATAAATTAAATTACTAGGAAAATGTCTACAGAGTGTCCTAATTAAAAAAAAATCATAATTAGAAATTTCCCAATTTGCTTGGGTTAGGTTCTCATCATGCTAAGTCACAGTTCCCTTCATCATGATCAATTGCGTAACTGGTTGGTTCACTTATAACTTTTGTGGGAATGCAAAAATGTTTAAAAAAAGAAGAAATGGGAATGATTAGCCTCCTACTCCCACAATCACCCTTAAAACAACATAATAAAAAAGCCAAAAATCTTACTCCTTCCCTTTCTGGGTGATGTTATCATAAGCCTTCAGTGATCCATCAGCTGAGAAGAGAGCAAGTTGCAACTTCTGATCCAGAAAAAAATTGTCTGTGCCTATCCTTAAATTTCCACAATCACAACAGCTGGCTTCACCCAGTCTACCACGCCAGCACCAAACCACAACATTTGTGAATCTTTGTAAAATGGACAGTTCTTGTGTACATTCAGACAACTGAGTACATTGAGCTATACACTCTGCACTAGGTGGCAGTGATTTCAAAGAAGAATAATTTTTTATTCTCTCTAAAATATCAAGAATTGAACCTGGATTTTTGCTTACAAAGCAGATATTCCACAATGAACTGAAGATTTACAACACTTGTTTAAAATATATCTGAGGAAGCATGCAGTAATCCACCTCCAAGTAGAGTTACAACTCAATAATGGATCCCAAAGCAATCTTCTAGACCAGGGGTAGGCAACCTTGGCTCTTTTATGACTCGTGAACTTCAACTCCCAGAATTCCTGAGCCAGCATGGCTGGCTCAGGAATTCTGGGAGTTGAAGTCTACAAGTCATAAAAGAGCCAAGGTTGCCTACCCCTGTTCTAGACTGCGGTTAGGAGCAGAAATCAGCATTTCTGGTTTTTTATATACTATCTAATTATATAATTCACCCTTTGTACAATAAAATAACTACCCAATACTATGGTAAAAAAGCATATATTATTTGAACAAAGCACCATATTTGCTTTTCAGTAAATTTTACACTAATTTTAATAAGCTGGAACTGGATTTGCCAACGGCACTGTTGTTTTTAAAACCTTTTACCTTTTGCTCTTGAACTTCAAACACTGCTTCGTGAACACTGCAAGCAAAGAGTGAGGTAGGAAGATCACTTAGATCCATCATCTCTTCCAAGTCTTCTTCGTTTTCTCCAAAAATCATTTCTTCCTCTTCTTCTAGGTCACTGCTGTAAAGGTCTGACTGACTATCACTCCAGGCCTTCATTGTATCATTAATCACTGTCCATTCAAAGCTTCTTTCTGCCTCTGTATTCTGCGCTTGTAGGAAGAGTCTTTCAAATGAGCCAAGAGAGAGGGGAAGAGAGAACAAAAACAGTAAGGAAGATATTTTTTCTATTATTTCTTATTATGGTTGTTTTTAATGGTTTAGTCATTATGTGCAGAAATAAAATCTGACCTTAGAGCAGTAATCCTGGCTCATTTTACAATTCACTGATTTCTAGCGTAGGAAGGAGTCACTGCTTATTCAGATATGAATAATAAGCTTGATGCAATACTCAGTCTTTTATCATGAGACAGGCCTAAATAAGACTCCCATGCACTGGATTGCATCCAAAGACTTAAACAGACTTCCTGTTCCAAAAATATCAGTTCTAGAAACTGACAAACCATCTCTGGAACTGCACCTCTGGAATTACTCTGAGAACAAATGGAACCTTCCAGGGAACACAAGAAGGTTCTTAGGAACAGATTGTACAATTTGATTTCAGAGCATCCAAGAAACAGTAGATCAGGGCTTTTCAACCTTTTCACCCATTGTACCACTTTTAGGATATGGCAATATCCGAGTACCACCAGTCACCTAGCAAGGTGACAAAAAAAAAAGGGAAAAAGTAATAAAGTTACAAGTAGTCCTTGACTTACAACAGTTTGCTTAGTGACTGTTCGAAGTTACAATGGCACTGAAAAAAGTGCCCCCCAAGCCACAGCCGAGCAAGACACCTGCCCACCCAGCTGCACTCTTCCTCCTGTCTGAGGTTTTCATTGTTGTGAGCATTTCTGTTGGGGATTGGCAGCGGGGGTGGGGTGGGGGGTGTTTGGTTTTTATTCCCCCCGTCTGCTGGGTGGTTGCAGCAGGTTTTGGTCCCTTCACATGACCCTGGGACACTGTGACCCTCATAAATATGAATCAGTTGCCAAGCATCTGAATGTAAATCACAAGACCCTGGAGAGGCTGCAACATTCCAGCTGATCGGTACTTCTTCCGGGCTCAGCGGAAGCACCAGGATCAGTGCTGCTTTCCAGCTGACTGGCGCTTCTTCTGGGCTCAGCAGAAGCACCAGGATCAGCGCCAAGCTCCAGCTGGAGCCTGGCGCTGATCCTGGCGCTTCCACTGAGCCCTGACAGTCCCAAAGAAGCACCGATCAGCTGGAGCCTGGCGCTGATCCTGGCGCTTCCACTGAGCCCTGACAGTCCCAAAGAAGCGCTGATCCTGGCGCTCCCGCTGAGCCCCGACAGCCCTGCAGCTCCAGCCATCTCTCGCTCAGGCTTGTGCGGTGCTGCCACCGGTTCAGCTCATTCCCCTCCCCCGCTACTTTTCTAGGATGGTCGCGTACCACCTGCCAGGTGCCAATGTACCACAGGTGGTACCCGTACCACTGGGTGAAAAGCCTTGCAGTAGATCACCTCCTTTGCCATAGTGACAAAGAGGAGGAAGAGGAGGAGGAGGACTCATTAGCAACTCCTACGGTATGCTCTGGTGGCAGAAACCTCTGCCACTTTCTGATTTGGGGGGAGGGGCAAGGAGTAAATATGGATCAGACTAAAGAATATCTCTGATCTACCAAACAAAGTTCTTCTGAGTTTCCAACTTCCCTTCAGGAAGGAAGGACAATTAAGACAGCAAGTATGACACAAAGGGAAAAAAAATAATAGGAACAGGAATCCTCTTTCCCCTACTTTTTGCTTTACTGGAAAGAATCCGACAAAGATATCATAGATCCTCCCCAACGCCACATGACTCAGTCAATTAATTCCAACCAATTTATTTAGAATTTATTTTTGTTTATAATATTACGGACGAGCAGTTAACTTTTCCAGGAAGTGATACATGCTCATTTACAAAAAAAACCCGACACTGGACAAAGGAAGAAGTCTCCTCTTTTTCTTTCCCATCCCTACAGGATCATTACGATCAATTAGGCTCCAGAAAGGACCTAGAACAGTGTTTCTCAACCTTGACAATTTTAAGGCATGTGGACTTCAACTCCCAGAATTCCACAGCCAGCAATGCTGGCTGTGGAATTCTGGGAGTTGAAGTCCACATGCCTTAAAATTGTCAAGGTTGAGAAACACTGACCTAGAAGCTTCTTGCTTCTTCTCTTTTCTTTTTTTAAATATTGCTTCTTATTTGTTTATATTATTTGGATGCTGCTTGTGGAGACTGTCATCTTAAAAAACTGCATCTAAATATTATAATAAATCCAGATGGAATTTGCAGAAGAGCATGATGACACCTAATAGGCCCTGAATTCAGAAGCAAACCAGCTTTAATAGTTTTCTTAACCTTAGCAACTTTAAGGTGTGTAGACCTCAAATCCCACAATTCCTCAGCACGCATGGAAGTTGGAAGTCCACATATCTTAAAGCTGCCAATGTGTTTGGCTTTCTACATGGAGCCAGCCTTTGTCCTCTCTAAACCTGACATGTAATCTGCTGGTGTCCAGAAATCCTAAGTCATTCCAAGGTTAGATGGAGGCTTTGTGTAGCCAGGCTGATGCTAGAAACACCACATCATGAGATAGTCAAATTGGCAAGCATCCTGTCATTCTTTACTGTGAGACAAAAGGAGATAGAATCATGTGCCTACAAATTTTGGCTTGAAAATGTATAGATCACCAAGTATAACAAGCTTCAAAATACGTGTACTCAGTATTTGATATTTAATCATTACATTCCTTGCAAGCTGAATGTTTTCAGCTTAAAAACTAAATAGGTTTTCAAAAAACATCGCCAAGTTGAATTTCCACACAATTCATTTCTATAAAACAACACTGTATGTAAATGTATTTTTCTATTTACTACTGAGATGCTCAATAATGTTCATTTTAATGCTCAGAAACTAGCCTGTTGCATGAACTTTTTATTTTAAAGCCCCTCATATATGACACTTGAGACACTGTGCATAAAAATTAATCACACTATGAGCTTGAAGAACATTTAAAGGCAAGGAAGGGTTGGCTGGACCAACAGAATAGACACAATTTACTGAAGTGTGTACCAAACTGAAAGGAAAACAGACCTGGCAAATGATTTCTCTCCTTCCCTCTCCCTGCCCATTGGGAAAGCATGGACTCTATAATGATGGGACTTGATTTGTGCTCAGAGAGAAAGATTACGGCATGTTCATTTTTAGTTCCAGAATATTAATATTAGACTTGGCCTACCAAGATTTTCACATGCCCTTCAAGGAAAGTCACAACTGCATAACAATAGAAGTTTAGTTATATTACTTTAAAGACATACTTAAAAATAGCCTCCAAGTAGAAGTACATCATTAAAACCAATAACACTAGATAACGTTTTAAGAGAAAAGAAAAAAAAACACCCCACAATAAAAGTTAAAATCGCTACAGATGGAATACCTAGGTAGGATAACAAAGCCTTAGAAGTAAACAAAAGATGAAAATGCGTAAGTTCAAGAGAGATCCTGCTGGTTAAACATGATGCTGACACCAGACCTAGTAAGACACCAATTGTAACTAGGCAAGTAAGGCGTTCAGCAATCAAAGTCTCTGTATTGAAACAGTTCATTTCTCCACAATGTCTCAAGAGACATATTTGAGGGGGCTTTTAATAAATACAGCTTATCACAGGCCTCTTTGCTAATTCCCAATATTCAATCCATTACATAATCATAAATTAGTTATTAAATTTATATATGGCCCAACTCCCAGTGACTTTGTGCAATTTATGGATTGTTGAACATATATAAAAACAAAGAGACAAAAAAAATGGCAGAAATTATGAAACTGGATAAGGACAAAGGAAAAAAGGGTCTTCAAACACGCTCATGAAAGGGTGAGTTAGCTCTACAGGGTCTTCTGAAACATCTGTAGGATGGAGGCTGTCTGAATCTGGGGAGGGGAGGGGCCCTCACTCCAGAGAGAGAGGGCATAAGGCAGAAATCAAACATGCTGAGTTTTAAAACATCAATGCAACCCCTGAATTTGGTTTGGATCAAATTCAAGGTGCAACTTGCTCAGAACAGACATAATATGGTTCCAACAGGCTGTTCCTTTTAGCAAACTAACCAGACGGTGCTATCCTTGCTTCAGATTCTGGGCCAGCCTCTAACAGTTTCACTGGAAGAAAATACAGCACTAATCTGATTTGCAGGTTGTCAGAGCCTGGAGCATGACTGATACCTGGTAAACCAGGTCAGGCCACAGCAAAGGATCTGGAGGAATTGCCAAATGATGACTTTGGGTGTTGCCTATGTGCCAAAATTAGTAAAGCAGATGGGTGGAAGGAGAAAAAAATTATACAAAAAAATATACAGCAATATTAAAAATGAAGTTAAAAATCTTCAGAGAACACAAGGACATTCTGTATTTCTGAAGAAGAGAAATTAACCTGCAGCTATGCTCATACTGAGAATTTGATGACTCACAATTCCAAAATATTTCCACATATAATACTGCAGCATTAAAGTTTTCAGAGTGTTCAATAGCTGCAGGAGAAAGATTCTATAATCATAATTACTGCAAATTAGGCTGCTTCTCTTTACATAGTGATCCCTGGGAAGCCCAGTTGTTAACTGAGTGTTTTAGTATGAACTTCTATACTCTAACTCCCTAAAAGTGCATTACATTTTCTCTGTGTGGGAAGGGCATTTAAAAAAGAGAAGAACATACAGAACTGAATTAATTTGTTAAACGGATTAAGGCCTTGATTAAAGAGCTGTGTTTCTTTCAACAATCTCCCTTAACAAAAAGGAGATCACAAAGTGACTTTTCTAGCATAAAGATCTTTAACTGAAATCAAATGTTGATTTACCAAGAAATCTACAATGCAAACAAAACACACTGAATTAGTAGATGAAAAGGAATCTTCAGTTTTCAATCCAGAACACTGAATTCTTGCTTTGAGGAATTACTGAACTGAGATGACATAAGCCAGCTCCAATAGCCTCTGTTTCAGTTTTTGCATTTGCAAAGAGATTAACATATACCAACAACTGCAAGAGAACAAGAAAGCTTACCAGAATTTAAATTCACTCATGGCTGGCCTGTTTTAATAACTTAATACAATGACTAATATATTTTAATCAGAAGATTGGGATTTCATAATGTATAGGTTGTTTGTATTGAGCAGGTACCTCAATGGAAAAATCAAGCTAACGGTTTTTTCACACTAGAATTATCAATCAAAGTCAGGTGCAAAATAGATGGCATTTGCCAGCTGAAGCCAGAAGTGATTTTATGATAATATGCCCTATAAACAATGTATCATAATTTTTTCATATAAAAAGCCTTCTTTTCCCCTAGTATCTTTTTTCAGGCAAACATATAGCACTGTTACCGTTAATGAAGGATAAGTCTCATTATCTAGGATAACTACTGTACCTAGTTGAGTATCATCATGGATTCCAAAGAAAAACATGTTACATTTCCTAGTCTTCCCTTGAGATTTTGTTTTTCAGGATTATGCAATAGAAGAAACAAGAAACTAATAAAAAAATCTGCCAACATCAATCTACTATGCTAGGAAATGATGCTGAAAGTAACAGAGAAGAAACGTACATTTTAGCAAAACAAATCTCATCAAACATTCTACTAAAACAGAGTTTATCGATTTCAATCCATAGGTGGGAGCATCTAGCTAAAGTTGCTTATTGTCCAAAATTTAAGCAGTGATGGGCCTGATAGCATTTGGATGATGGACCAACAGGAGATTCCAGAATTCAAGATTAGATAGGAAGTTGAAAAAAAATCTCAGAAGAATAGAATCAAGCTCAACTTGAAGAATTTCTCTTTAATTCAAAATTAGAAAGGCACATGCAGCGGAATCAATTGTATAGCACAATCTTCTATATGGCTGAGGGTATATCTCAACTTGTGGGTGAACATTGACTCTGAGCATCTTTGATTCTGTGGCAAACTCTGACTTTGTAATAACATGCACGTGATTGTGACTACTACTATAATCCAACAGAATTACTCCAATATTCAGGAATCTGAGACCCCACATTTGTAAAGTTATGAAACTGAACAATGTAGAAGCTAATTTCTATGCTAATAAACAGAAGTTTATCAAAGCCTTAACCACAGGGGAATATGACTGCACAGTTTGATATTAAAGGTAAGTATTTACCTTCTTGAGTCTCAAAACGTGAGGATTAAAGCATTTTAAAAATCTGTATGACGTACTTGCTTGTGCTGTCGGCCCTCCACCCCCATGAATAAGGAAATTATACATCCTGACTAAGGCAGGGCAAGCACTTAATTTTTTCCTAAGAGAAGGACTGTTTATTTTCCTTAGCACACTATTTCCTCCTTCAGCAAGGCAGCTTAAGGAGAGAAGGCTAAAGTATTATCCTGTCAGATGCCCACTACACAGTGGATAAGTTCCACTGTTCCCACATGGCAGGGAAGAAAAACAAATCAACTACATTACGTTAAAAAATTTAAAACTGTGGTTTTAGGCAAGGCAAGATACAGAATGAAGGTATGATTCTAGACTGACATTACTATCATAGTTTAAACAAGGAAGGTATCTGTAGGCAGATATCACCAGGAATTGCAGCTAGTTTAAAACTGTTAGTGGATAATCTTAATATTTCCCTCCAGAGAGTAGGGACTTCATGAGGCTCGTTCACACTGTGTGAAATCAGTTTCCTATTTTAATTAAATCAGGCCAATCAGTAGATGGGACAAGAAATGAAGAATTAAGTCCAACGATTATTTTGAAAAGAAGAAAGCTATAAAAAAAATAAATTGGCAATAAACTTGTGTTCATGTGGCAGAGGAAGCAACAAAGTAAAGGAAAAGCTCCCTAAAATGATAAAACAGCCCCTCACCTCTAAAAAGACTGGTTGTGTCTGAAAGCACAAGGGCATAAACAAGCAATGAAGACTAGAAACTGGAGGCAGCAAATATAATAGAGAAGAACATAGGAAGTCTTCATTTAGCAACCGTTCACAGATATGGATATCTTTCATATGATAAAAACGTATCCTTGCAACCAATCCTTATATCTATCTCCTTCACAGGTCTGCAAAGGAAAGGAAAGCTGAAGGAAAGGATCAGAAACACACAGGGCACTTCCAGTTAGTGACCACTTCCCTTAAGAACTGAGTAACCCATCCCAACGATGGCTGCTAAAGAAGGACTACTTGTAGCTAGATCCAGCAACATTTTGCTTTAGGAGCGGAGAGCATGAGCAGAGTAAGAAATACGAAGCAGAACAAGAGGAAACAGACATTAAAAAAAAAAGAATGGGAAAGTGGAGCAACCCCTCCCAAAATACTGAAAGGGGATGTTATTAATGTACAATAAGAGGGGAGAGATGAACAAGAGACCCCCAAGAATGGGAGGAGAGCTTTCCTAACTATGGGGCAGTGGAAGGGCACAACCTCCTGGCAATATTTTTTTTTTTAATAAATTTTTTATTAATTTTTGAAATTAAACAACAAATACAAATATGATGCATTTACTTACACAAGCAAAAAAGATAATCCTACTCAGTACATTTTCGGAGACGCTCGGCAGTCCCCGCCTTGCCTCCACCCTCATTCACTTTCCTCTACCTTCCTCTCCCTAAACCCACAACCTCTCCTCTTTCCTCCTTTCCACCTCCCTACATCCCATCTCCCTTCTTAACCACCTCATCGAGTGCAGTTTGGGGTACCAGCCGAGCGTCTCCTCTTTTGAATACAATTCCATTATTTGCCTATAATATATAAATACATCAATTTTTATAATTTCTATCCCCTAATCCCCTTCTCCCTTCCCCCCCCCCGGACTTCCCAGAACCGAGTACAGGAATAATCACATAATAATCCCAATCTAACCCAAACAACCCATTCATAATATAAACAAGTATAAACTTACTGTAACTCTAACATACAACCATCAACTTAACTATAAACTTATATATAAATGATATATAAAAAATATTTATAAATAAACCTCCTGGCAATATTGAAGAGGGGTTGGAGACCCACACTCAGCAAAAGGGCAGCCCCCCCCTCCCCACCCATACACCTTTTAATGGAAGAAATACATTCTGGGGTTGGAAAAAAAAAAGACATCCTTTCTTGGATTCGTTCACTAGGCGTTTCCGAGAGCTAAGTCCGGGGAAAGGAAAGGAGAATAAAGAGCCTCAATTTTGGGGACAGGA